CAGCCGAATGGACATGAGAAACTCGTAGTTGACGGCAGACAACTTGATCTCGCATAAAATGAAAGTCGATGGTAATATGTTTCATGCAGGAGTGAAATACTGGATTAGCGCACAAATAAGTAGCTACGATATTATCTCAATATATTGTAGGCGTATAGTTGATGTTGAGTTCCTTCAATAGTAGATTTGTGACCCAATTGAGTTCTGCAGTGGCAGTGGCGATGACATGGTATTCAGCTTCAGTTGTAGACCGTGCGACTGTCATTTGCTTCTTAGAACTCCAACTAATTGGATTAGTGTCAAGGAAGATAATATACCCCGATGTGGATGTTCTATCATCAAAGTTGTCTGGCCAATCAGCATCGGTAAAAGCATGAAGCTGAAGTAGAGAGTGTTTACAAAGAAAGAGACCATGATTGAGGGTCCCCTTAAGATATCGCAGGATTCGTTTGGCCGTAGACCAGTGTATAGTAGATAGTCTCTGCATAAACTGTGATAATTTGTTGATTGCAAATGAGATATCGGGACAGGTGAGAGCTAAGTATTGTAGGGAACTAGCAACTTGTCGATATTGAGTGGGTTCCGTAATAGGACTTCCATCAGATAATTTGAGAGAGCCACTAGCAAAGAGAGGAGTTGTAACCACATTTGCGTCCTGCATATTTGTTTTGGATAATAAATATTGAATATACTTTCTTTGTGATAGAAAGAGACCGGAAGATGTGAATGTAGCCTCTACACTCAGAAAGTAGTTCAGGGGTCCTAGATCTTTGAGCGAGAACCGATTTGCCAACTATTTGATGAACGCTTGGATTTCTATGGGGTTGCTGCCTGTGACAATGATGTCATCCACATATACTAGAATATATATTGTGTCACTATGGTATTATCGTAAAAATAACGAGGAATCAGATTTGGAGTTGAGAAAGCCAACGAAAGTCAAAGAGGAGCTAAGTTCAATGTACCAAGCTCTTGGAGCCTGATGAAGTCCATAAATAGCTTTCGAAGTTTGCAAACATGCTTTAGATACTGAGGATGAGTGAAACTAGGAGGTTGTTGCATAAAAACATCTTCGATTAGAGACCGATGGAAAAAGGCATTATTAACATTCAAATATCGTAATTGCTAGCTTTTAGTGGTGGCCAAACTCAGGATAAGCCGAATTATAGTAGGCTTAACAACGGGACTAAACGTCTCAGTGAAATTAACTCCAAGTCGTTGATGTTTGGCGAGGAGGCATGCCTTATATCGGACAACATAACCATCTGGGTTCTGCTTAATTCGAAAGACCCACTTACACCCGATGATGTTTTGTGATCGATAAAAGGGTATTAGATCCCACGTTGAGTCATGGAGGAGAGTATTATATTCCTCACACATGGCAGTACGCTAATGCAGAGATTTTTGGGCTTTAGTTAATGTGGTGGGTTCAACGGTGGTGGATGATGAATCCATGATAGCATGTAGGTTAAGGACTTGACGAGGTTTGAAAATACCACTCTTAGAGTATGTGGTCATATGATGGTTGGAGACTATAGGATCAGGAGGCTGTGTTGGTGGAATAAGCGGTTGAGGGTCAGCGGTACAAGCCAGGTCAAGTGAAGACACGTTAAGGGCACTTGGTCGAGAAGGAGGTAAAGGTAATGGTTGCATTTCGGAACTTATTACCCCATCAATTTTAGAAGAAATGAGTGTAGGAATGGAAGGAATCGACAATTGCTAAACTGGAGTAGTATAGCATGGATCATAAGGGGAGGAACTGGACGATATCATGGGAGGCTCGTCCGATAGGATCGGAGGTATACTCCAGTGAGAATTGGATATTGAAGTAGTCTGCATGGCAGGATAGTGATGGTTGTGGAAAGGAAAGTTAGACTCAACAAAAATAACATGACGTGATATAAAGACTTTGTGAGTATAGAGATTATAGTAGCGGAAAGTATTATATTTAAGTGAGTAACCAATAAAGACGTAAGGACTAGATCTTGATGTTAACTTATGAGAGGCATAGGGATGTAACCAAGGATAACATAGACAACCGAACACTCTAAGTTTATGAAGGTTTGGGGGTTTGTAAAATAGTGTGTCAAAGGGGGACTGGTACTATAGTACTGCTGTAGGTATTCTATTAATAAGGTAGACTATGGTTTGAAAGGTTGTTGTCCAAAAGGTTGGAGGCATGGAAGCCTGATGTAAAAGTGTAAGCCCAGTTTCTACTATATGCCGATGTTTGCATTCGGCAGAGCCAACTAGTTGAGAAATATGCGGGGGAGACTTGATGTGTTGGATTCCACAAGTTGAGAGATAGGATGCCAAAGCTTGATATTCACCGCCACCATCAGAGTTGACCGTTTTGATTATAGACTGAAATAGTTTTCGACCAACTTTCGGAAGGTGGGAAAGATGCTGAAAATGTCAGATTTTTTGTGAAGAGGATTTTACAAAAATGACATAAAATTTAAACTTATCAAAAGACAGGATTGGAGCAGGACCCCAAATATCGATATAAATAATTTCAAATGATTTAGAGGAGGAAATGAAAGATGAGCCAAAAGGCTGCTGATGACTTTTATTACTAAGACATGCATCACAATGCATTATAGAACTAGTGAATTTAAAAATAGGAAGAGAGTAACGAGAAAGTAATTTTTGCTAAATAAGGGACGAGGGATGACCAAGACGATGATGCCACATATCAACTAGAGCCACAACAGAAGAATGAATAGTGGGCTGGGTTATTTATGAAGCTGATGGCCATTCGTAAATATTACCTCTATTCGGGCCCTGGACCAAGGATGCCCCCGTGCTCAAATCCTTAATAAGAAATAAATCAGGAAAAAATTCAATTAAAGTATTGTTATGTTTGTAAAATTGAGAAACGGAAATGAGGTTGTATTTAATATAAGGGGCGCATAAAACATCATCGAATGTAAATGTAGTAGAATCAGAATTAAGTGTTGTGGAACCAGTACGAGTCATAGGAAGTCTTTTACTATCACCGATGATGATATCTTCATCGCTATCATAGGGATTGTGAAGAGACAAATTCTGAAGATTAGCGGTGATGTGATGGGAGGCGCTAGAGTCGACAATCTAGTTGGACTGGGTAGTCGTCGGAGTAGTTATGAGATTTGCCTGAGGCTAGTGTGGCGGAGCAAGGAGGCAGGGATGAGACCAGTAAACTTTAGTGGAGTGTCCGACTTTATCACATAGTTGGCAGACTACCCGTCTTTGATGGCTAAGTGGGGCAGGATGCCAAGATGGACGATTATTAGAGTTGCCACTTTGCAAGAAGTTATTATTAGAAGGATAAGAGGGGTGTTGCATGAGACCCATATAATCAAGATGTGTATTGGACAAACCTTTGGTGATGTTCGGAGGGTACCGAATACTTTTCCGTTTAGACTTGTGACTAACTTGAGCTATGATAGTCAGTCCGGGCAGTTTGTCCGCAAGCTTCAAATATGTCTTATAGTCAGTAAGCTTGTCATAGAGTTCTTCAAAGAAGATTGGTTAGTCGTGTGTCTGAATTGCAGTAGCCAATTCCTTTTAGTCGCCGTCGAGACCATTGAAGGTATAGATAATGATCTCTTCATCACATAGGGAATAACCTATCAAAGCCAAGTCATCGATGATAACCTTGATATTTTATAGATAATTAGTGATAGTACTTCTCTCTTGTTTTGTCACCATCAGCTTGGATAGAAGACTGTGCTTGCGAGTACGTGAATTATTCACCAAGGTTGTTTACAGTTTAGACCATACATCGGTAGCAGTCACACATGAAGATATTAAAGGAGAGACGGATCCAGCAATTGGGGCTTGAATAGCTTGGAGGGTGAGATGATCTTGATGCAATCACAGTTTGTGAGCTGGATTGGGTACTGGACTGGGTTCTCCAGAGATATTGAGCATGGTTGGCGGACAATTGAAAGGGCCATCAATGTAGCCTAACAAGTCGTATCCAAATAAGAGATTAGAAAATTGAGCCCACCAAGATGCATAGTTGTCATCCTTCGATAACTTGAAAGGGATTAGCATGGCAGCACTGATGGAGATAAGCCCTGTAGGAGACGAAGGGTGAGTCTCTGCAGAAATAAGAACTGGAAAATAAGAAGAAGAAGAAGAGAACGAAGACATCCCAGTTTTTTTTTTAGGCTGCTGCAGCTCACTGCTGCTGTGGCTGCTGCAGCTCACTGCTGCTGTGGCTGCTGCTACACAGCGACTGCTGCAGTAGAGGAAGATGTTGTAGGAGGAAGCTATAGTAGCGATGCTATTGGAGGAGAAATCTATAATGATTTGGGGAATCTGCAGGCAGCGAAGAAATCTGCAGTCGACGATGAGGGCCCAACCGCGATAACCAGCAAGGTAATGGGAGCCCGCGATGGTCGCCCACAAGATCTTTTCATCGAACGACCAAGGAGATGCCCGCAACAGTTGTAGAGGACGAGGCAGAACGGCCGCGGCCCTTCTTGCTCGAGCGAGATGCGAGAACAAGGAGGAGAGGAGAGTGCAGTCGACTCTGCTTCGGCTCTACTTCAAAGAATGCCGCCGACACAGGGAGGAGAAGAGGGAAGGACAGGCCGCGATCTAGTTGTTGAAGGAGGGTGCATCCACCGTTCGCTTACGGAGAGGAAGCTGTAGCATCCACCGTTCTCTGTGGAACAGTAATGAAGATGCCACCAACGTCGAGTGTGGTCATGGTGGGAGCAGCGAGCGGTTGGAGTCGTGGCCGAGGAAGCTGGTCCACTTCTTAGAGAGCCTTCACGGTGATGGCTCTGATACCATATTAAAGTAGAGTAGAAGACAGAAATGATTGAAGAAGATTTACATTAATATGTCATTCTTCTATTTATACAACGAGGAAGGATTATCCTCAATAGATTAAATGATTTTTCTCGAAAGAATAAAAAAATTATCTACTATCCCCAAGTTTTTAGACGATCGAAGTCTCCTTCTGCCTCATCCGATGATGCAAAAGGAAATATATCATTTTGCAGCAAAAGATACGATGATTTGGATTTGATATAATACATCGAAGTCAACGCTTTACCAATTAAATTAATCAGTATGTTTGTAAGAACAAAAATTGATGTAATGTGTGATGGGTAATGTGTGAGTCAGTGGATCGTCCTACTAATCACAAAACCGATAAGATATTCGATGAGAAATTAGTCATACAATGCACCTTTGGGCAACGAAAAATTAATGCCGGTCTTCTTCTTCCTCACCGCGTCCGCTTTCTCCGCCCCGACCTTCCCCTCAGTCCTCGTCGCTGCTCGAATCCGACATCGAATTACGGTATAGGAAATCGGGCGGCAAGTTTGGGAACCTGGCCATCGGTCTCATCCGCCTCTCCGATCCCTCCCTCGACGACGGTTCCGACTGTGAAGCCGACGTGGACCCGGACCCCGTTCTTGCCGCCGCCGGCGAGTGCTTCTTCTTTTTCTGCTGTATATTCCTAGCAATGTCGACGCAGGTCTTGTCCACCATATCCAAGAAATCCTTCACTATCGTAAAGAGCTGGAGTGGGTGAGCCCCTTTGACACTGGAGTCACCGGCATGGTAGTACTCTGTAGTCTTCTTCACCAGCTCCAACACCCTCGCTTGCTCTCCTCTCGCCGCCTTTAGCTCATCCTCTGATTCCTCGACAAAGGTCTGCATCTCCCTCGCGAACCCGCCCACGCCGCACGTCTCCAGCACCCGCCTGATCTCTGTCACGCGGGCTTGCAGCGTCGGGCAGGTGGTTATGAGCTCGCTGTAGTCGATGCCCGCTGCCCTCTTCAGGTTGGCGAACTTGTCGCTGAGTCCACCGACGATGGGCAGGCCGAGCATTATGTACTCCTTCTCCCTCTCTTCCCGTCCTGCGGAGCGGCTCGTGGACCGGTCGAGGGTGGCGCCGCTGTTGGAGCGATGGAGACTGTAGTTGCGGTTGACGACCAGGCTCTTGCCCTCCGATCGCACGACCTCCTCCACCACGAAGTGGAGCAGCGTGGTGCTCCCGTCGCTGCTCTTCACGTCGGCCAGCTTGAGGAGCGCCGTGAGGTTAAAGGCCTGGGCGTTGCCCCTCGCTGTGCCGGCGTTCATGCGGTTGCCGGCTTTGAGCACGGTCTCCAACAGCTTCAGGAAGGGACCCCGGGTGGGCGTTTTGAGCTCCTTGCAGGCCTGCTCGAGAACCTGCAGGTATCGCTTAAAGGTGCCCACCTCGAGCGCGTAGTTGGACCTGAAAAGCATGGCGTCGAGGCGGGCGAATGGAACGGTGACGGCATGAAGGATGTGGAAGAGGAACGACTCGGCGTCGGCGAGCTTGGATGGGTCGCCGGTGTATCCCAGGACGAGATTCTCTTCGTCCTTGGTGGGGGCGATCTTGGTGAGCCGTTCGAGGACGTCGGTGCTGAGGCCACAGCCCTCGGTGAGGCCGTCGATGATGTCTCGGCGGCTGATGGCCGTCGACCGCAGGACGATGGCGATGTTCTGCGACCTGCGCGGGTCCAGCAGGACTATCTGAGTGATGGCCGCCTTGGAAGTGGAGGGGTTGGCGGCGGCGTCGACTGCTTTCCTGTTGCTGAATGCGCTACCGAAGAGAGCTTCCATGGTGTCTTCGTCAACCCTGTTTCGATTACACAGAGAAATCAAATCAGAACAATGAACTCGACCAATTATTTTCTTGTGGCTGGTCACTGGTCAATCGATGTTGACAATGCTAAATTACTAAACCACATCAACTATCTTTTGATATTATAATAGACGACTGATGCGTTCAACAAGGACTAAATTTCCTCCTAAATCAGCAAAATCACGCAACTACTAGGTCAACTAACTTCATAATCGTGGTCAAGGGTTGACCAGTTCATGCTACCATGTAAAACATATATAAAAGATGTTCAAACCTAAATATAAATTGACTTAATCGCATATACATAAATCGTAATCAAGAATTTACTTACTTTAATGAGCCATTGGAGATCTTGTCCCACACCATTGAATGTTCAACGTTAATGGGGTTCATCTTGTCCCAGTGCAATGGCTTCAGCTTCTTGGGCCCACCGTCCGCCGCACCTGCAGCCGATGTCCGCGCTGGGGCCGGTGGCGGAGGCCCCGAAGATGGCGCACCGCCCGGGCGGCGACCGCCTGGTGGCGGTGGTGGCGCTGCCGGTGCTGGATTATTGTTGTTTGGCAGGGGTGGCGGAGGCGGCGCGGGTTTTGGAACTGATTTCGTCGCCGGCGGTGGGGGAGGCGGTGCAGGCGCCGCGGCGTTCGACTTCATCACTGGCGGCGGAGGAGGCGGAGCAGGCGCCGCGGCGTTCGAATTCATCACTGGTGGCAGAGGAGGCGGTGGAGTTGCCGCATTGAACTTTGTCGTCGGTGGTAGCGGAGGAGATGGTGGAGCCGGTGGTCTTGGCGGCTGTGACATATTACTGGTCTCTGTTGGTGCCGCTAGTAGCGACCACGGCGAGCCACTTTGGGGCGGTGGCGAATGTGATGCCGAGAACATGGCCGTACTGGGCGGTTGCGAGCTTGTCGAGCTGCTTCCAAGCAACGATTGCCGTGACGTCAATGGTATGGCTCTACCTGACGCCGGTGGCAATTGCTGATTGACCTGCGTCGGTCTCCGCCAATAGGAGCTCCGATCATGAAAATTCCGTGACGATGAATCGATGAAGCTAGCCGGAAGCAATGAATTCTCTTGAATCCTCCGATCGTTTCCTGGTGGCGAAGCGAACACATCATACTCGCGTCGTTCTTCATCGGCGTCCTCCCTCGGCCCGAACAGATACCCTTTATTGCAGTGACTGCAGAACTTCGTGTCGAACTCGCGCCAGTACAGAGCATCCAAGCCATCGTCGTCCACGAACGCACTCCTCCGCCGCGCAGGATTCGCATTGGATCGCAGCGGCCGCAAGCGGGTGCTTTTCACGGGTTGTACCGCTTTCTCCTCACGCCGCCTGGCGACGAAGAAATAGAAGACGACGAAGAGGAAGCCGCAGAAGGCACAGCTGCTGACGGCGGCGACGACGACGGCCTTTGTGACACCGGTATCTGTCGGTCTCAAAGATGACGGCGCCGGAGGAGACGATGGATACTGGAAGGCTGGAGAAGGGAGGGACGGGAAGAAGGTCTCTATGTTCCTTTGCAAGGTTGGTTGTGAGGATGTCAGTGTGAGAGAAAGAGAGCAAGAAAGGTAGAAAAGAGGAAGAAGAAGAAGAGGCCTTAGGTCTGAAGCCATGAAGGAGAAGGGAAAGGATCTGAGGGCATGGCGTAGTTGTTCGATCTATGTAGGGGTGTGGAGGTCGCTTGTGGCTTTGGCTCACCTGCCCAGTTTGGCTGACGGATTCAAAGGAAGCCAAGAGTGGTTGCCGGTGGTCGCATTCAACAACTCTGCAGAATAAATGAATTAGGTTGTGATGTTTTACCTCCTCCGACCTGCCTGCCTTGTGTTCAGATGGAAGGACAACAAAAGTCGGAATCTAATATTATATTTGCAATGGAGGTTTTGTCGTTCGAATTCAACTCACGCAAAACCTTCCTTAAACTGTAGTAGTGTTTATCTAAATAATGAACTTACCGTGGTTGAGAATGGAGATGACATGAAAGAATAGGAGACATCGTTGAGTATTTGAAACTTCAATTTTTTTTATGTCTTTTATGTCTTTGTGCAAAATATAAGTTTTGAGTAAATTTGGTTGACGTATAATGTACAAAGGATATTTAATAATTATCTCAGGTTTCGTCGTAACGAATGTTTTTTTAATCTAGGATAAACATATACCGACACAAAAGGATTGCGATGAATCGATCACGGACACGTCAATCGCATCATATGCTTTTAATTTTTTTTTTATCACGAGCAAAGATGTGTTAATCGTATCGTATACTTTAGATTTTTTTTTTTATTCGTAGTAAATGTCATCATGCGCAAAGAGATTCGTCGATTGTGTCATATGCAAACATGTTATACGCAAAGGGGATACATGATCACTTAAGATCTAAAACATGGTCTTATGGATAGTTATATTTTAATATAAAAAAAACTTTTACATAATGAATTTGTTAAGAGTTGAAGCTTTTAAAAGATACTAAATATTTTATTTTGTTATCTCAAGTCCAACCATGGTGAGATGGGCCATTGCAGGCCCGATGAGCAAGATGAGAAGAGATTCGATGAGGGGAGATTAAAATATGATAAGGAGCGGAAGAATTGCTCGAAGAGGAGAGGTCTGAATTGAGGCCGAATCCAATGAGGTCGAGATTGAGATGATTCCAAGTTGCTGCCCGATTGCAAGCAATTTGTTGTGATAGATATCAATCCTAATTGGCAGGTCGATAGGAACAGCTTAAACTGTGAGGGCTGATGCTATCTAACTTGGTAATATGGTTTAGGATTCTAAAAATAATGTAACCGGAGAACAAAGAATCTAATTTAAGCTATTCCATTGGAAAAAATTATTATAGTGAAATAATTATTTTTCCTCTTTATATATCAAAATGAATTTCTCATCAAAATATTAATTTATTATTAACAATAAATAATAAAATAATAAATCAATCAAAAAATAAGATACCGAATTTTTTATATAAAAAATTCAATACGAAAAAAATCATCATCGGATCGTAGCACACTTCAAACTTTTACTATCATAAATAATGATAACAATTTTACAATAAACCTTCTCCCGAATAATTAGAGGATCATAATAATATCAAGAACATATATCTTAGCTCAATAGTAACATATCATCATCAAATGAATTTCATAAAGAAAAAAAATTTAGATCTCACCAAGTCGATATAGCAAAAAAGTATCTTAGAGGATAAATTATATATCAGTATCGTTAAGATTATAGAGCTTTTACGATGATTCTTTATATAAAATTTGAGCTAAAATCGACAAAGTCTAACAAAAACCTTAAAACCATAACATTTCTTTCTCTATTCATTTTTTTCTCGGCATGCTTTTGTTAGCAGCACTCTCACGTCATATGTCACTTTTTTTTTTAATAAATTAAATTTATGCTCAATACCTAAATACATCCGTCTAAACATATTCTACCTAACATAATTGGTTAAAACTTCGGTTGTTTAATAGTAAAGTTCATCATTAAGGAAAAGAATTTTGCAGAATTAATTCTTGATTTTTTTTAAGTAAATACCTTAGTTAAATATTTGCAAGTCATTATCTATTCTTAAAAATTTTAAAATTAATTTGTTAGGGAAAAAAATCTAAGTATGAAAAAACTTCTATGTTAAAAGGAAAGAAATCCAAATGTAAATTAAGAGACTACACAAGAGATTCCAGATTATGTCTAGGTTAATTCAAAAGAAAATTTTATTTATTACATTTAATTATTTTTAATTTATTTTCATATACTAAATTTTAGACTGTCTAATCGGATTTGAGTTCGATTGTTAATAGTTAAATCTATTTATTTGTTATCGTAGTAATATACCCTAATATCATTCTTTGTGTCCGATGGGTGAGGAAGAGATGTTAGATTTATGAACATATCGAGTATTATTTTCCCACAAAGTTAAAATATGGCTTTGATTAAGTTGTCAAACCTAACTGGTTTGACTTGTGACCATGTGATCTCCCATAACATTATAGGACCTAATCAAACTTATATTTATAAATTTATTTTAATTGATTTAGATCTATTTTAGTTCATAGCTCGATATCCATGTCGGGCTATCGATTACTACAAAAGCCTCTTCATGACATAATCAAGACGATTGTAATTACGATGATAATAATCTAAACCCCTCAAACGAACTATTAATATATTCATGGCATAATCAAGGTAATTATAGAGATGAAATTAATTATCAATTTGTGCATACATCCACTTCATTTAAGTGTAACTGTGGAAGCAAACAAATATATTAGTTGTATGAAGGAAAATAAAAGGGTCAAACTTACCATATATATATATATATCATTTAATTATGTTAGAAATATTTAATCATACACGTGAGCTACCATTATCATATATTTTAGTGGCTAAAATATAATATAAATAGTGTTAAGATATATTTTTATTGTCTGATATCAAAAGAAATTAGGATTCAATCATAGTCTATATCAAATAATAAATTAGATTAAAATATCTAGAATAATCTTAAAATGAAGGAAGTATTCAAATAAGAAAAAGGTAAAACATGCGGTCAACGGAAGATGGTAATGAAACACAAACAAATCATAAAGTTTTCACTAATGCTGATCGATTGTGGCATCTCACGGGAGAATATATGCTTCGAAAGCATATATGAATACATCATTAAAGAACCATGAGATAAACCAGTTATATTTTAGGAATATGATAATATTTATTTTTAATAATTAGAAATCATTTAATAAAAAAGAGTAATTCGCCTTTTTTCTCCTTTTTATCAATTAAAATTAATTTTGACGTCGTTGAGTATCTTTCATTTTCCATTAAAAAAATTAATTATGTCTCATCTTAAATTTGTTACTGTTTCAGCGATAAGATGGAAAAAGAGTCAACAAAGTCTATTCCTCATAAACCCACCATTAATGTCATATTGACTTATGTTCGTTGACCAAAATGAAGCTTATGATCGTTCTTTTTCTTTTTGGATTTTGTACAACAAGCGAGAAATTATAGCTCGAAATTTCGACTCTCACTAATCCCCTCGCGTTGACCCCCGGCAGAGGAAACAGGCGCTGCCACTCTCTTTCTTCTCTTATTCTCCGACGGCGGCGGCGTCTCCGGCGATGCCCTCTTCGGTGGCGCCGCGTCGTCCTGCGAGCTGATGAGGAGAGGGAAGTTGAGCAGCGCTCGGGAGCCACGGATGCGGAACGCCGCACGGTCGTAGGCCAGCGCCGCCTCCTCCGCCGTAGCGAAGGTCCCCAGCCAGACCCGCGCCCCTTTCCTTCCCGGGTCCCTGATCTCCGCCGCGTACTTCCCCCACGGCCGCTGCCTCACCCCCCGATAGTTCCTCCCCCTTTCCCGTGCTTGCAGCGGCGGAGGCCGCTGCGGTGCAACGACGGCGGAAAACACCGCACTGTCTCCGCCATTCGCGTCCAACGTCGCGACGGCCTCTTCGTTGAGGAGATGGTCGCGGATCGCGTCGAGGAAGGCGAGGTCGGGGCACCGTCGTTGCCAGTCCTGTTCCATTCTATTGATCCGTGGGATGAACGAGGGAAGAGCAAGCTGAGAGAGTTGTAGTCGTGGCGGCGGTGTTAGATGGGGTTGCAGACGGTCATATAGACGGCGACGAAAGCAACCATCTCCCTCTCTGCCTTCAGCAGCTCGGCTTCGCTGAAGCTTCCTGTTGGGAACGAACACGTGCATGTGTTTCACGTGCAAACATAACTTTAAAATAAGATAACGTATATAATCTAAGACCTTTTCCTTTTCAGGCAAGTCTTCGCTCCGTTGAAATGGTCAGCGGTCGCATTTGGACTGCGCCGCCGCCCCCGTATCTAATGGTAATATGTTGGATCGAACAAGGTCAAATTGGGCACATCGAGTTCACGAGTTAGGTGGGTTTTGTTCTTCGTCTTCCTGCGAGGAAAAGGGATTAGCCAAATAGACCACATGATATGCAAAAAGAGTAAAGATCTCAATTTAGGGTCAATCTAAATTCTAATGGACAGACAAACTAATGGTGCAATTTATTGCAGGGGTACAAACCCTCACAACTAAGTCTGATCATGATTGAATAAGGATTGGAAACGTAATGGAGAGAGAGGATGTATTTACAAATAGAAATCACTAAATAAATAAATGCTTGTCAGTTATATGTACTGTATCTAACCTTCCGACCAACCTTGCGAGATATACACACATATAGTTGTTTGTGATACCATTTCATCTATTATTTTCCCAATGATTGTCCGATGCCAATTAAAGTGTGATGTGTGTAATATAACCGTTATTATTAAATATTTTATTTAATAATAATATAATCATTCTTATTAAGTTCATCATTCATTATAATCAATTTCATAAATATTTTAATTTTTATTCTAAATGAATCATTATTATTAAATATTTTATTTAATATCATTAAAATTTTAAAATTCTTCATTATGATCCAAATGTTACAAATTTGAATTAATTCTTGTATGTTATGAGTTTGTGATAATAAATGTTCTTGATGGGAGAATATATATATAAACGATGATTTTTGTCTCTGGATTCAACATCTCTTTGAAGTCAAAATAATTTTCTACACCATGTAAAGCCAGAGTTCTGAGCCGAGAAGT